AATGTGTACATCACACAAATTTTCAAAAATACAGGAAAGTTCGCGATGGAGAAGAAATTAAAATTTAGAAATAATACCCAAAACGAATTTATAGAAATGTAATTACCTCCATCTTTATCAAATATTAGTAAGAGTTTAAACTTAAATATTGATTTAAGCTTCAGAAATGTTTAATTATTTACAGGGATTTTGCTTAGATACGAACTTGTTATGCAAAACTCACTAAATAATCACAGGAATTAATTTAGAGAGTTAAGTTCGTTAAAATAACACACTTATTTTATAAACGATACAGTTACTTAAAATATATAGAAAATATTTCTCAGATTAAGTTTACCTTTGATCGTTGTAAATAATTCCGCGAAAATCGCGGGGAAAAATTCAATTATTTATGAACCATCATTTACACGACAGAGTTGACAAAAGCTGACAAAAGCAATCGCGATTTCATAGATTTTAAATCGATTACCACCTTGTAAGCTTCTAAAATACTGTTTATCTTACCTCAGGCTCTTTCGGGGGAGCCAAACGTTGTGGCCTCAAGTCTTTCACATCATATCTAAAAGAAATAATAACCAAACAAACGCTCATAAGCGAAGCAAAGTTTACATTTCGATCAAACAGGACACTCCAGTGCGAAGTCCGCGAACAAAAAGATTGATGGCGCGTTGGCAAACAGACCGGGAGCTCACGTACCCGACTTTCTTAAACGGCTCTCTTCCCACAACGACATAAGTACAGTCTCTTTGAAGATCGTCAAGATTTCTGATGCGATGTCTACCAGCTGGTGTCCTTATTTCTCGAGCTGGTATACGAAAACTTGTTGCAGCAGCATTCAGAAAAGAATCAAAACTCCGCATTTCTCTCTGGTTGACCACAATTCGCTTTCTCTTAAAATTGTCCCCGTTGAGATGAAGATAAACGGGTTTTCCCATCATATTTATCCCTCTCTCGTGAGCAGCCATGCTCCCACAGTGTTGTTTCGCTTCACTTAGAACTTCTAATTTCGTTTACGATGAAAAAACGATCACATTTTGCAAAGAGATGGTAGAGATTTCTCGTCACTTATGCTCTGTGTGA